TTTGGAAGCTCCAGGATGTGAATGCATCAGGGCCCACCAGGCCCTACCCCTGGCCTGCCCCACTGGGCATGTGCCCCTGAACTTGTCAGGTTCCCCTTATGACACCCATCCGCCCTGAGTGGCCTCTTGGCCTAAATGGAAGGGTAGTAGTAGCCTTAAGCTCCGAGGCCAGTGCTTAGCTCTTCACTAACTGCCCATTTTTTCAAGCTTTTCTTCCCTTTTTGTAAGTTTCTGTCTTGCCCTAGGCCAAGGTGGGGCCCCTCTGATCCCAGGAGTGGGAAGGACACCTGTCAGTACTGTCCAGGAGCCAGCAGGGGACAGAAGGTGCTGTTGGATAGAGGTGATCAACCTGGGCCAGGGGTGGAGTGTGATGAGGCGATGCACAATATTTAATCAAGTCCAGCCTGTCTGGAGCGGGGCTTTTGCCCTGAGAGGTCAACATGGAGGCCTCACAAGCGCCTGGTGCTTGTTGGCATCTGCTTGCTGCCCATCGCCTAGCTGCCTGTCTGTCCTTAGCCCAGCTGCAAGGTGGGTGGTTGGGGTGGAGAATGAGCTTTCTTTAGGGGGAGGGTGGCAGGGCAGGGCCAGGAGCTGGGTATAAATAGCCCCTGCCCAGCTGGGAAGGCCTGGCAGTGCCCTCCACCGTCCCCCTCACCAGCTGCCAGTGCCAGGCGGGTCCCTGTCTCCCTGGGGAGCCTAGCCATTGTCTCAGGCCCTGACTGTAGGAACTTCCTGCGCGGAACCGAGGAGTCTTGTTCTGTGTGTAGGTGGAACCTCCGGCTGCCCGGAGGCCTGGGGAGTGGGAATGACGGGCGGCAAGGTGCGGGCGGGCAGCCTGGCCTTCTGGGAAAGGGCTTGTTCCTTCAGTCCTTCCCTTGAGATTCAGCACGTTCCTATCATGTGCCCGGCCTTTTGGTAGACCCCACGTGCTCACGTCTCTCTGTGGTGTGTGGGTGTGTTACGGAGGGGGTGTGGAGGGAGCATGGAAGGAGACACAACCTCTGTCCTCAGGAAACTTAGCTGGCGCAGCCAGATGGGAACAGTTCAGTTCAGCCCTTTGCCATAAGGTTTGAATAGGGAGAGGCAAAATCCAGGGCAGGAGAGGGTGCTTTTGTGCGGAGCCCATGAAAGTCTTTGGAATGGAGGCGACCGGGAATCAGGGCTGAAGGACCGGTAAGGTGTCTGCCAGGCTTGGGCCATGGACAGGTGCCCCAGGTGGCGGCCCGGGGTGTGCAGGGCCAGGGGGCCCAGACAGCTGTGCTGCAAGCCCTCGGTGGCCTGGACAAATCTAATCAAAGCCACTCGCTTTGGTAGGAAGAACTGAGGAGGTTGACGCTCACTGTGTGACCTCCCCCAGGGGACCGTGCATTTCAATAGAGGGGACAAGGAGCTGGGAGTTAAATGAACATGAATCTGAGGTGGTAGAACTTCAGATGTGAGTGGTGCGTGGGTAGCCGGCTCAGGTCAGGGGTGGCAGGGCACGTTTGGGGGAGGGCAGCTATCCTGCAGAAATCAATCCTGGGCCACAGCCTCATTAGCCCTGCACCCGCCTGCAGCGCTAAACCTTCATCCGCAGAGGCTCTTGCTAATTACTGGCAGGATGGCCAGATCTGAGCTAACACCCTTGACTGCAGCACCACGGACACATCTTTACGCCCTTGCCTTTGCCCTTTGGGTCGCCTTTAACAGTCAGACAGGTCACACGTCTGTTTAGCCTTCCCCCCAGTTTGGACTGAACTGCGGGATGGGCCCAGCTTTGCTCTGTTCCAAGGCATCCTTTCCAGGGATGGATGGGAAGGGGCTCTGAAAATGTGATGTGCTTTATTAAGTCAGGGATGGGAGGGCAGGAGGAATGACATTGATGACAGGGCAGGGGACGAAGTGCTGGGGACAGCCCCTAAACACATGGTAACCACAATGAACGCCATTTACTGAGCGCTTCCTATGTGCCCAGTGTTTCATATCATTTATATTTCCCATTATGTCTGTTTTACGAATGAGGAAACTGAGGCACGGAGAGGTTAAGTTGCTAGAGATCAACAGCTAGTAAATGGCAGAGCTGGATTTGAACCAAGGCAGCTTGGCTCCCGGCTACACAATTGGTTGGATCTGGGCAGGGGGTTGGTGGAATGAGGGAAATAAACTCATTTCTGAGGCTGGGTGTCATTCTCAGAGGACATCGCACTTGGAGTCAGACAAACCCAGGGTCTGAATCTGGCAACTTCTTTCTGTAAGTCATCCAACTTCTCTGTGCCTCAGTTTCCTCATCTGTAATATGCGATGAGATCACATCCTCACAGAGCTATTGTGAGGATTAAATGAGATAACGGATGAAGAGCCTGGCACACAAGTTCTAAGTAAATGGTTGCTGTGATTATTGCTGGTGTTGAGAGTGACTACAGAGGACAAGGGAAATCTGCTGGGTTGTAGGAAGGACTCAGCCAGCAAGGTCTTGGTGACTCTCAGGGGAGTGGAGGGGACCATGGCATCTCCAAGCCATGCCAGCCCCAGCGCTCAGGGTTCTGCTGGGCCGGGCAGGCTGTCTGGGACCCTGTGGGAGGGATTGGGCGAAACTAGGAAGCCCCATGGAGGGTTGGCATGAGGAGCAGCCTCACCAAGTGGAAATGAAGTGCCAGCAGGGGCTTCCCCACCCTTTAGCCCCCTTCCCATGCAGTGGTAGCCAGCTAACCAGGCTCCGTACACCCGGTTGTATGGCCTTGGGCAAGTCACTTCTCTCTGGGGGCCTCTGCTTTCTCATCTGTATAATGGGCTTTGAACTCTCTCAGGGCTCCTCTCATAGGTTCTGATACTGATCCAGGGCTCAGCCTCCCACTTAGCTTGAGGGTACCTAGGCCTGCAGAGCAGAGGCTGGGAGGAGAAGGAAGACGAAAAGTAATGGGGGGAGCGCGGGAGGAAGGCTCCCTAAGTGCCCCTTGGGCCCCACTTTCATCTCCTGGAAGAAGGCAGGCTGGAGCCTTGGGAACCCGGCTTGGCTGGTGAGCAGACCAATAAATGGGGAGTGAGGTGGGGCAAGCACTCCTGGTGCCAGAGGAGATTGTGGGACAGGCCAGCCCAGGTTAGAGTGTCCAGAGAGGATGGGAGGCTGGGCTAATGGACACTGCAGGGCCAGTCCACACCTCCAGGGACAGGCAGGGCCAAGGCACCTGCAGAAGGGACATTGGGGAGTACTCTGGCCAAAGGGAAGGGACAGGAGGCTGGGAATTGGGGGCCAGGTCTCCCCGTGCTGCTCTGGGATAGTCAGGGGCCAGGCCAGGCCATGGGGAGGGGGCGGGTAATCACCACCAGACTCCTTTAGAGAGGCCTTAATCACTCCACACTCATGACCACACAGTGGTGGCCATGGGGGTGGCAGCGTCCTCTGTCTTGCCTCAGCTTCCCTCTCCAGCTGTCCCCATATAGGGCCTGGGTTCTAAACGTCAGAGGCAGGAGTGGGAAAGGCCTGGGCTTCTTCCCAGGGGGGTCTTGCTCCTGAGCCTCCCTCCCGGGATGGCGCTATGCTGAGCCATCTGCACTGAACCTGGGCTCAGTTTCCGTCCCCAGCGATTGCAGGGCTGCTGGGACAGGGCTGGACATGCTGGTTAAGAGCACAGGAGAGGCAGCCTGAACTGGGAGGGAGGCTGACACGTTGCAGTTCTACAGATGGGCAGGTTACTTAGCTCCCTGGCCTCAGTTTCCTCATCTATGAAATGGGATGGTAATAAAATTCCTCTCTCCCAGACTTGCTGTGAGGATTACGTAATGCGAGCAGTCAGAACCAACGCAGCACATAATTAGCAACAGGGGTTTGGTTATCACTATTAGCACACTGACCTGTCTGTAACTGTAAACAAGCAGGGCAAGAGAGGACACCGGCGGGCCGTCAGCTGCTGTGGGCATGAGCCCATCAGAGGCCTCTGGGCTGACCCGCTCCATCCCAACCAGGCATGGAGGGCTCAGTGTTGAGGCCCAGGGTGCAATATGCCGGCCTGCAGCCGCCCCCACCCCCGAGGGCCCAGACAGGCAGTGCCCAGGAGGGATGGTGGCTCAATGGGTTTGCCCCATGGGCCCTGGAGTCGGAAGGCATGGGGTCCAATGAGCAGCTCCTTAGCAGTCCTATGGTCTGGGCTCTCAGCCTGTGAGGTAAACCGTCTGAGCACAGGGCTGCTGTAACGCCCCTCCTAGTCAGAGAGTAGTTATAAGGACTCGGTCAGGCAAAGCCAAGGAAAGGACAGCCCAGTGCCTGGCACGGAGGAATTCAGGAATAGCCATGCTCTGTGGTAAGTCAGGCCACAGGTTGCCCTTCCTTCTCTTTAAAAGGGCTTGACGTTCAAGATCTGGAAATGTCTCATAAATGTCACCATCCAAACTCCCAGATCTGGTCCTCCAATCCCTGCCCCCAGAATAAATAGAAAAATGGGGGCCCCCTCATCCCTCTGACAACTGAGCCCAGAGTCAGCCTAAGGTGGGTGGGCACCACGCCTCTCCATGGTGCCCATTAAGAGCACGTAGTAGGAGCTGTTAAATGGCAGGCATTTGGTTCATCCCTGTCTAGTGCAGAGAACTTGTGTGGTATTTCCCCATCTGCCCGGGGCCTTATGGACCCTCTTCCCAAGGCATCTGACATCACTTTGTGTGGGGGACCTGACTGCTGTGTGCAACCTCCCTTGACTCCCGGAGAGGTTGCCCAGACCAATTCCTTCTATGCCCTTCAGGGAAACTGGTCCAGAGCCTGGGAAGGACTCGACCTGGGCCCCAATACCATCTTCTACTCCCGGGTTCTTTTCATGGAATTGCAATGGTCCCCAAGGGCAACCACAGAGGTTTCTGCCGGTCCCCATGCCCTTGCAAGCTGGATAAGTCCATATCAGAGGGCTGACTTTGCCTGGATCTGAGTGCTGCCCTTCTAGAGCTCTGCCCTTCGAGGACAGCATTCAGGTGCCAGGTTTCTCAGGGCATGGGTTCAGGCTCACGGGCCCCCCGGAGAGCTACTGAGGAAGAAATGATGCCCATGATGGGCTCTGTGCTTTGTGCCTGCAGTGCCACTGTCCTCTGTGTGCCCACAGGTCCCTGGCCCTGGGCCAGCAGTACACGTCCCTGGGCTCTCAGCCTCTGCTCTGTGGCTCCATCCCAGGCCTGGTCCCCAAGCAACTGCGCTTCTGTCGCAATTACATCGAAATCATGCCCAGCGTGGCCGAGGGCGTGAAGCTGGGCATCCAGGAGTGCCAGCACCAGTTTCGGGGCCGCCGCTGGAACTGCACCACCATAGACGACAGCCTGGCCATCTTTGGGCCCGTCCTTGACAAAGGTACTGTCTCTGGGCGGGGTAGGAGGTGGGTGGGGGTGGGGTTGGGAGACCATCAGGATGAAGTGACTTCCATCTCAGGGTGCCTTAGCTCAGAGCGCAGGGTCCCCAGGGGAGGGTGATAAAGCTGGTCACAACCCGGGGCCTCCGTGGAAAATGGGTCAGGTCCTTCTCTAGAGGGACCCAGGTTGTCACCATGGCTGCCACACCTTCCCAGGTGCTGTTGGGAGCTGGGCAGCCTTGCGATGCTCTAGAATCCCCAGATCCAGGGCAGGCTCGGAGGCTGCCGCCTTTCTTCCCCCTCAGCTTGCACAGCGGTAGCCCCAGGCTTTGATGTGGACATTTGTGACATTTCCCCAAGGCTGTGTTAAGTGCTATGCAAATGTAGCTTTGGGGTGGGGTGGGGGCACCGTCTCCCCTATATCCCTCCCATATAGAAAATTCTGGAGCTGAGAAAGCTGCTGGTGCTGGTGGCACTGCATTGCTCTCAGGTGCTTCCGTGAGAACTTTCTGCCGGTCCCACGCCCCTGCAAGGTGGACGCGCCTTGGATTGTGGTGGGGCAGAGGGAGTGCTGGCCTCTGGGTAACTTCCTACCCATCTTGCAGCCTGGGAGGCTCACTGGCTGCACTTCAAATGAAGGGAGTCACACAAGGTGACTTCAAACAGGAAGGCCCCTGATGAGAGGGGTGAGGGGACAACTGCTCCCTAGAAGGTTTGGGGCTGAAGATGGGCAACTCTGAGAAACTGAAAGTGGCCGGGAATTTAATGACCCCAGAGGGCCTCCGGGGAGCCATCTCTCCTTTTCCACAGCAACTTTGCCACCCAACCCCCTGCGCCCCCCCTCCCTCCCTCTAGGGGAGCCGCGTTTACAGCCAGAAGGAAAAGGCCTCTGGGAGCCCGGAGGTCTTGGCGAGGAGGGGGCGGGTGTCGGCGGAGAATGGGAGGGGGGAAGCTGACCCCCCCCTTTTAGAATGCAGTCCCCCTTAACCTGAGCCTCAGGTTCGCAGAGTAAGTCCGCCCGACAGGCTATTGTCCTGGGACCGAAGGGCAATTAGCGAATCAATGGATGATGGTTCTGTTTACGCTTCTGTTACCAAAGCTAATTATTCCGTGTTTACACAAAAGGTTTGGCCTCTAATTGGGGCCAAGTGGCGGCGGTTTGCATTTCAAACCTGATCTCGCTGGTGTGTCAGTCTGTCCGCCTTCCGGTGCCCCACCTCGGGCCAGGTAGCGCCGAATCCAGCCGCCCGGCGTCTAGACGCGCTCCCCGCCCCGCTCGGGCACCGGCCGGTGGGAACCGGGCTCGAGCTAAGGCCGCTCCCGGCCGGGCCTCGCGGCTCAAGTCACCGCTCAGGTTCTAGGACGTGCCTTCGTCCCCACATTGCGGGGGGCAGCTCTGGGTTAGGTGAGGGGCGAAGAGTCAGAGCCCCTGGGAGTGTGATGAAAGCGCAGAGGTCCCCGGGAGCCCCCGCCCCGGGTCCGTAGCGACGGGTGGGCCGCCGGGGGTTCACCTCCGCCCCGGCTTAGAGACCAGGGCCGCGGGGGGGGTCGGTCTGCTCGGGTCGCGCATCCTTCCGCGGAGGCNGATGGGCTCTGTGCTTTGTGCCTGCAGTGCCACTGTCCTCTGTGTGCCCACAGGTCCCTGGCCCTGGGCCAGCAGTACACGTCCCTGGGCTCTCAGCCTCTGCTCTGTGGCTCCATCCCAGGCCTGGTCCCCAAGCAACTGCGCTTCTGTCGCAATTACATCGAAATCATGCCCAGCGTGGCCGAGGGCGTGAAGCTGGGCATCCAGGAGTGCCAGCACCAGTTTCGGGGCCGCCGCTGGAACTGCACCACCATAGACGACAGCCTGGCCATCTTTGGGCCCGTCCTTGACAAAGGTACTGTCTCTGGGCGGGGTAGGAGGTGGGTGGGGGTGGGGTTGGGAGACCATCAGGATGAAGTGACTTCCATCTCAGGGTGCCTTAGCTCAGAGCGCAGGGTCCCCAGGGGAGGGTGATAAAGCTGGTCACAACCCGGGGCCTCCGTGGAAAATGGGTCAGGTCCTTCTCTAGAGGGACCCAGGTTGTCACCATGGCTGCCACACCTTCCCAGGTGCTGTTGGGAGCTGGGCAGCCTTGCGATGCTCTAGAATCCCCAGATCCAGGGCAGGCTCGGAGGCTGCCGCCTTTCTTCCCCCTCAGCTTGCACAGCGGTAGCCCCAGGCTTTGATGTGGACATTTGTGACATTTCCCCAAGGCTGTGTTAAGTGCTATGCAAATGTAGCTTTGGGGTGGGGTGGGGGCACCGTCTCCCCTATATCCCTCCCATATAGAAAATTCTGGAGCTGAGAAAGCTGCTGGTGCTGGTGGCACTGCATTGCTCTCAGGTGCTTCCGTGAGAACTTTCTGCCGGTCCCACGCCCCTGCAAGGTGGACGCGCCTTGGATTGTGGTGGGGCAGAGGGAGTGCTGGCCTCTGGGTAACTTCCTACCCATCTTGCAGCCTGGGAGGCTCACTGGCTGCACTTCAAATGAAGGGAGTCACACAAGGTGACTTCAAACAGGAAGGCCCCTGATGAGAGGGGTGAGGGGACAACTGCTCCCTAGAAGGTTTGGGGCTGAAGATGGGCAACTCTGAGAAACTGAAAGTGGCCGGGAATTTAATGACCCCAGAGGGCCTCCGGGGAGCCATCTCTCCTTTTCCACAGCAACTTTGCCACCCAACCCCCTGCGCCCCCCCTCCCTCCCTCTAGGGGAGCCGCGTTTACAGCCAGAAGGAAAAGGCCTCTGGGAGCCCGGAGGTCTTGGCGAGGAGGGGGCGGGTGTCGGCGGAGAATGGGAGGGGGGAAGCTGACCCCCCCCTTTTAGAATGCAGTCCCCCTTAACCTGAGCCTCAGGTTCGCAGAGTAAGTCCGCCCGACAGGCTATTGTCCTGGGACCGAAGGGCAATTAGCGAATCAATGGATGATGGTTCTGTTTACGCTTCTGTTACCAAAGCTAATTATTCCGTGTTTACACAAAAGGTTTGGCCTCTAATTGGGGCCAAGTGGCGGCGGTTTGCATTTCAAACCTGATCTCGCTGGTGTGTCAGTCTGTCCGCCTTCCGGTGCCCCACCTCGGGCCAGGTAGCGCCGAATCCAGCCGCCCGGCGTCTAGACGCGCTCCCCGCCCCGCTCGGGCACCGGCCGGTGGGAACCGGGCTCGAGCTAAGGCCGCTCCCGGCCGGGCCTCGCGGCTCAAGTCACCGCTCAGGTTCTAGGACGTGCCTTCGTCCCCACATTGCGGGGGGCAGCTCTGGGTTAGGTGAGGGGCGAAGAGTCAGAGCCCCTGGGAGTGTGATGAAAGCGCAGAGGTCCCCGGGAGCCCCCGCCCCGGGTCCGTAGCGACGGGTGGGCCGCCGGGGGTTCACCTCCGCCCCGGCTTAGAGACCAGGGCCGCGGGGGGGGTCGGTCTGCTCGGGTCGCGCATCCTTCCGCGGAGGC